TCAAAATATATGTTTCAATCCCAGGAATTTCACTCGCTGTTAATTGCATGGGAGTGGCAGTCTTTAATGAATTTCTATTGTCATGTCAATTTCTTGCGATTAATCGAACATTAAGCTGTAACCACATACCGCCTAGGTGCTGTAATTAAATCCTGGTGTAAGCACCATATGAACTATGAACAATGTATGTGAAGCCAGCTGTGGGGTATATTCAATCCTATAGATTTCTCATTGTTTGGTAACTATTTGCTGCAAATGCAACAAAAATCAATATAAAAAATATTACCCACACAGTATTCTACAGGTTACTTGTATAATATTGTAGTGTACGTCATCAGGTTTCATGCGATATTTAGACAGTTAGGGAACGACCAATATAAACTGGGGGCTGTGTGAAGTTTCATTTAATTTTGTTTGGATGAATTTGCAGTGTGTTTGCTTCACTCTACATGTATGTATAATAGTTTCCTTTATAATCTGTGAAAGTATCGTTTATGCTGTCTTTGTTTCCGCATATTTGTTTTTTGTTTCATTTTTACCGATCAACGATTACTGTCCACCTTCCACGCGAATCGCGCCCTCTAGCGATACAGTTCTTCAGTGGTTTCTCATTACGTCACAGAAACACACCGACACTAGAGGGCGCGACTCACAAGAAAAGGTATTTCAAAGTTGGTTCTCATATTTCATCACGTGAATGACCATGAGACTATATACACGTACGTGTGCCATTAGCTCTAAATGTTATTGTTGTTTTTTTCTTAATATCTATAAGAATATTTTTGTTTTTATTTGAAAATGTGCATTTTTTTCTATTAAAAATAAACCCATTTAAAACAGCCAGTCTATTGTTGTCGACATGTTACTGTATCAGTAAAATGATTTTTCCCACGGTGGCTTTTACCCAGAGTGTAGCAATCATTTCTTGCAATTTAAGCTCGAAGTGGAAACCCATGACTATGTATAAATTACCACTAGTTTTCAATCACGTCTGGATTTCTTTGGTTCTAACAATTTCTTTCAAACACCTATGATATGCTGCCATATGCGAAATTGTTGAGGTACCTTCAAAATCCCCACTAAAGTTGTAAACATAATTTGGGATTGGGAAGTTATTAAATATTTACCTTACAAGTCAAATGACAATAAATCTACCACACTGTATTTAATTAGCCTTTCAGACGAACTCTATTCAGGATCCTGGGTGCAAACATAAACACCTACACATTTAAAAAAACAAACATTATTCGTAAATACAGCTCAGATTTGACATCTCCGTTGAAGTAATATCATAAACAATGCAAAAATTGCGTAAGATGAGTCATAATCCCTGGTCTCGTCATTGAAACGTATAGTAGTAACTGAATTTCAAACAGCACCATCTAGTGTTCAAAGTGAATAAAGTAGTTCTAAGAATACAGGTAGTTAATACAACAATGTTTGCATCTTAATTGACACTGAGCGTGTATCTGTTGCTGAAACTAAGTGATACTGTTTCTTCGTGATAAAAAAACTTTACTCAACACATCGTTTGCCAGTAATTGGTTAAGTGATAAACCAACAATCCTAACATCATGGTTACTTTCGCAGAAGTCAATATCGAACGAGTCAGGGGGAAAAACGATTAAATAAACACACTCGCTAACAAAATTTACTCATTACTTCTTTGTTTATAAAACCAATATGGTTGTTTACTTTATTATAGAAAGTTTTATGTACAAAAGAATGCATTCACTCAGTAACAACTTTCAAAAACAAGGATGCAACCGGAGACATTACAAACCAGGCCCTGGTCTGTGTTTTTAAATTTGTTTGACAAAAGGATTTTTAGGAAACTGCTCCAACATGGAAATAGATTTTAATCTCACTGAATCGCACAAGAACAGTAAGACAAGATATTAACCACAGAGAGCATTTTAGAAAACTTCTCCAACATGGAAATAGATTTTAATCTCACTGAATCGCACAAGAACAGTAAGGCAACATATTAACCACAGAATGTCTGAAATCAGGTCCACTGTAGATTTTTTGTGTGTGTGAAAGTTTATGTTAATTTTTCTGTGGTACATAGATACTGGTTTCAAATAAGCATTACAAATGAAACAAAAGGACAAGCCTCTGAAAGTTCAGCACTCCACTCACAAGAGACGATGGAAAAATACAAGTTTGCACAGAAATTACAATTTACAGTTTTAACTCTAAAGGTAAGTTTTGTTAAACTCTGCCTATGATTTTCCAAAATGGAGCAAAACAATGTTATTCACAGTTGTGTAACCCCAGCGAAACAATGAAGATGCATGTATTCTTTTCCATTTATCAATTATATTCTAAATTTGAAATGGGTAAAAAAAAAACATGTACTTTTATGCCACTATGTATTAAATCACAAAGGCAACATCATATGCATCCTCATCAACTTAAATCGAGAGGGTCATCACCTGCACAAACGAGGAATTGAGTCCCAAGCGACGATAACACACACTAAAAACGCAAATGACATGTTATGGCCATCTGACGCATGTGCAGGTGATGACTCCCTCGCTTTAAAGATGTACATAATTACACAAAACAGAACTGCATCCAGGCTCTGGAATTGTAAAAATCAATACTACAATGGTAGGCAGTATGGTAAATTACATTAAAAAAATGTTACTCATTGAAGTATGTACACATGAATTAAATTAAGTAAACAGAACCATATTTACAAATAGACATTTGTATTTAATGGATAAATATCAATTTGCTTGATACCACATTTTTGAGAGAGGCTCGATATATTTGGAAAACTTAATCCATTATAAACCAGAGTCAAATTATGTATTAATGATGACATCATCATCTAGTGTTGTATCAACTCATAAAGATATAAGATATATGGAGTTTGAACATTTTGCTCTCTCAATCTAGGCACACTATATGAAGAATGGATTTGTGGAAAAGGATTAAAATAACCTGGATATTTCACTCTATGTCACACTTTTGATATGCTAGCAAAGTCAGTTAATATCAAATAAATAAACAAGTACAGAAGTTGAACAGTCTGCAGTTCAGAGTTAGTCGTACGGTGTACTGAATAGCCATACCATAAAAGCTAACAATGAGTTTGTGTTCAATATTTAGAATCAAACAGTATACCGAGATCTGGGTTTCGGTGGATTTTTTTTATAACAAATGTATTAAAAAAAAATACATGTATATTTCTGTATGAATGAACAAGGCAGATCACTGGAAAGTTCAGTCAAATTGGTGTTGAGTGGTTTTAAAAATCATCACCAAGTTTATGCTGAACACAACACAATCAACACAATGCTTTAGTTTGTTTCTGCTTACAGAGATACAAAAGGTAATAATGAATACTGTGATAATTACAAGACATGGCGCTAGCACATTTCTATAAATATGCCTGGAATGTTTTTTTCCATGATGCAATATAAAATACCTCAGTAAAAGCATTACTAGAATTCATGCAGTGTAGAGCATATGTAGTCTATCAAACCATGACTCACTGACTTCTTGATCATCATAACACAGGCTAAATTAGTGGCAAATACACAGGTTGTGGACATTTTAAAGTGCTTTATCACTGCAGCCCCCGACAAACTTTGAATGATCTGTTAAACAACAAACATGTCTTTTATTGTCACTATGCTGAAAAAGTAATTGTTGGCTGTCAGTAATGAGTAATATTTTTAACTAATACTTTTTCAAGCCATGATTGAAGAACAATTCATAGCTGTAAGTCCAGCTGCCCTTTTTGAAATAATGCAGTGAGACAGTGCAAGCTTATTTGTAAGTTCTGTGATAGATCATCAAATTTTATATGAACATTTTTTGAGAGGTTGACATTATTGAGTTTTTGTGGTATGATTATTTAAAAAGGAAAGATGGCAGGAAAGATTACATTTCATAGGTTTTAATTGTCCCATCTAGTTTTCTTGACTTTCTTGGGTGGTTTTGGAGCTGAGAATCCGTGATCGGTGGATTTGCTACGGCTACTGCCCTCATTACCTGGCGTCCAAGTATTGCTGGTAGAATTAGAACTGGCAGCTTTGAAATGTGACTTGTATTGTGACTGTAAAACAAACAAAAGGGAATAAACAAGAGCATCTAACAAATCTTCTTATTCAAGAAACATTTTTCACTGTAACCTAACAAATGTTGGTAATATGTTATCTATCCATATATATTTATGATAAGCTTGAATAAAGCCGAAAATTTCTTCAAATAACCAGTGGTAGGTACATCATGATAATCTAGTTAAGACACCCAGAAGCTGATAGGCAAATGCATACAGGTACAACTGAACAACAAAATGAAAACAGCTAAGGAGCATGGATTATGTCAAGGATTAACAAGCCATGAATGGCACATTTCCTGTTAGTTATAAAATTTGAGATGTATAGTTTTGTTTATAGTGATATGGATGGGAACATAAACATGTCAGCAATATGGATCCAGATTAAAACAAAATGCCATTTTAATCCGATCTGAAAAACAAAATGGCACACATTAAGGTCCCATAATGTCCAATGTATGTACATTTATACCAAGTTTCAACAAAATCCATCTGTAAGCGGTCAAGATCCAGTTCCGGAATGCCAGAAATGCTTGATTTGCAGTCAAAAAATGTCGGCCATTTGGCCATCTTAAATCAGATTGTGAAACAATTTGATGTGCATATGTAGAATATTATGTATGATTCATGTGTGAAGTTTGAATATAATTGGTCCATGCATGTCTAAGATATAGACACACTGCACACTTTGCTACAAAGCTCAGCTAATAACTTACCATAAAAGCTGACCTCATAGTTGATATCCTATCGGTTCCTGTGAACTTAGGCACTACAGGAGGTCCTGATGATGGCCCCCTCTCTGGCCAATCTGAAGTATTTGTTTTATTTGACAGACTGCTACTTGTACTGGTAGGGGAAGTAAAACTACTGAGGCGATCGCTTTGATTCCCTGAATTAGTTCTATCACTGCTTTGCCTCTCTTCTTCCGGTGCACTGCCAAGTCCAGGCCTTTCTTTGTAACCAAGACCACGTGATCTGTTGGTTCTTCCCTTTTTGCCCTTCCTGTGTCGTGCTTTCCTAAACCAAGAATTCTAAAAAAAACAAAAACATGATGGTTTTGAAAGAGTCAATGTATTTTTGTCATGCCATCTGAATACTTCAAAATTTGTCTATTTTTTGTTTCCTCTCGACTAAATTTGCCATTTGTGTACTGCCTTATTGCTTTAATTTTGTTTTTGCAAATTCAGTAAAAATCATGAATTTAGTAGCAGTGAAAAAGTTCTCCGAGGTCCTGCGACACAGTGTGTTAGTGACTGTTGAGAAATTTTGCCCTCAAATCAGCCAAACCTAAAAGTTCATAGCTCCAAAAATTTGGCAGTTTACAGTGAATCCTCTAAAACGGTACAAAAATAATGAACTGAACACAGCACTATACTAAATGAGGAATTGATTCCATGTTAGATACAATGTAACTAAACAACAATGCCGTAGTTGTAACTATTGATCTTCTTTTCTCTGAATTATTATTTTAATAACACATTTCCTGCGTCATTAGTAGCAATTTGTAACATCCATTGTCGAAATGTGGACATGAAAGCATAGCCCAATGATAGCACATATGTCATATACCGTTGTTGTAGATTAATTCACTTGAAAGGGAGAAAAGATAGTCACAAGCCCCCCTATTTCTCCAGAGGGTGCCATCCATTGAAATCCAGTTTTGTCAAACAAATCTTGGAAACAACCATGTGACAACTTACCGAGGGAGGTGGGAAAATTGACACTCTGAGAGGCTAAGCCTTTCTCACTGATGACTATATGTGTCATTTTTCATCACGTGATCGGTTTCAACATAATGGTGACGACTGAACCCTTAGTTTTCAAATCGTATATGTGATATTAAATATGTGTATGGTAATTTTGCCTATGCAATTGTGTTTACATCAATATTTTAATAAGATTTGGTTGTCTTTATGTGGTTATATTTAAACAAAAAAATGTGATGACAAGACTCACTTGCATGGCTAGATCCATTAATTTCTCTGGTACTCTTTGCCCGGCTCCTTCTAAGTTCCTCACTAAATCTCCAGCAAAATTAACATCTTTTTGTGTAACTAGCGTATATGCTGTACCCTTGATGCCTACATTAGATAACATTAAAAATACAATGAATTGGTCAAGTTCTCTTGTAAAAAAAAAAAAAGAAAAATTCTGGTCGGAGATTTGTGTGCTAACACAGAATCAATTGGAGAAGATACACAAGAAACACATAGCATTGAGCGGCTCAGCTACATAAACGTATTTGCCAATAAAGTAGTGAAATAGAAGTCCTAATATCATACCTGCTCTTCCAGTCCTTCCTATCCTATGTGTATGTGTATCAATATCTCTAGCAACATCATAATTAACAACTGTTTTAATTGAAGGAATATCAAGACCCCGAGCTGAAAACAAAAAACAATGATCAATGAATGACGAAACAAGATAGCTTGCAAGCACATTTATTTTCTCAGATATTGCACAGTGTTAAACAGATGTATTCTTGCTGATTTTTCAACTTTTCTTCTCAAATGTGAATACTGGAATACAGTGGCCCCTCGCTAAGTCGCGGGTGTCGGGATCCAAGCAAAAACCGCGACTTATCGAGGGCCGCGACTTACCGAGGGACCTCGTGAAAGAGGGAGATCGTGCATTGAAAAACATATAAAAAGCGCATATAAACCCTCGGTTTAGCTAATTGATGTATCATCATATGTGTCAGCAGTATTCGAATAA